ATCCAAATGGGCAACCAAAACCGGCGCACGAAAGTGCATGGTTAATGGTTGTAAAAACTGGAAACTGAAATTTCACACGGGGAAGTAGCAAACCATGTTAGTTAGATCCCGAAATCAGATAGCGTATCAACAAGCGAAGATCCTACCCACAGGCTTGTTGTCCTATGGGTGTCCCGTGCAAAAGCTCGTACATACACAAGAAAAAGCATAAACACGAAATACAAACGCCCAATCCATTCACGGAGAAGATAACAGGACGGTATAGTTGTGACGAAGTTAGCTAGCATAAACGTGAAACAAAAGCTATGCGAAATCACTAGGCATGAAAAAAAAGTACTTACTCGATGCAAATAGCCGATAGCATCGCGTATTTTCTGTGCTTGATCAAACTGCTCTTCTGTTAACGCAACGAGCGGCATGGAGAAATTGTGAGAGGGGAGCGGGGATGGGAAAGGCAACAAATGAAAAACGTGCAATAACGACATACCGCATGTGTTTGTACGATTTACTACTAAATAAACCCCAGATTGGTTTCACGAATCGCTTAATCACAATAAAAATAGAAAAATTGTTCACTGTAAGGACTTTATCTCACCCGCTTCGCTAAATAATTTAACCTATAGGGTAGTGGGATATTGTTGGGAGTTTCACGATCGATCAAATCCTGTGTCGCTCAGATAAATCTCGCACGCCCAGTGCGTCCGTGAAACTGTATAGTCTGAGGTGAGCCGGCGATTGTGGTATGCAGTGTTGTGGACAGACTACGCATCTCTCTTTGGATTGATTGGAATCACAGTTTTCTTTTTTACTCTAGTAGGAAAATCGGCAATAGACGTTTCACCAACCTGTTTAAATTATCAACTATAGGCGTCAGTCTATCCTACTGTGTCAAAGACACTCTCGAGACGAGAGAACAGAACTTTCACATCTGGAGCAGTCAAACGGAATAATTTAATACGTTTACCGAAAACCATCTCGAACTCTCGGGTGGGAGCATCCAATGATTTGGTTAGGCCAACTAAACAATGAGTGTATAATAAGGAAAGAACACCACTCACAAGACATAAGACACCTTGAAAAACAGTCTCCAACAAAGCGGACAGACGCATAATGGAAACAGACTCACGAGATACACAGAATTGCTTCTGTTTCTCTAGTCGGCGAATAATATTCGCTACTTCTGGATCTTGATAGATATCAAAGGCCAGATCTTCTGTTGGTGGAATGAAATCTGGTCTGAAAACAAAACAGTACGAAACGGAGAAAAAGCCTTATCTAGCAACGATTCCGAATGAATGCGGTTAACTCTATAATACCCCAATTAAATATAATTTCATTCGCTCAAATATAAACGTCACCGAAAACCACTGATATCACAACATCACATAAAGCAGATACGCGCACTTCATTAGGACAAAAACATTTTCGCTTTGAAGTTTACTCGCATAAGGATTGATAAACGTTTTGAAGTATTCCAATAGTGAACAGACCAAGAGTCCAAGGGGGGGGGGGNGGATTGTATCGACCCAGGGATGCCAATCACAACTACACACAGCGTACTACCTGAGCTAGGAGGTCACGTCTGCATCTCCGCTTGCAGTTCACTTCTTCAGTTTCCTTGTCTGTGGAAACGTGGAATTGCTTGCTTGGTTACCTGATTAGTTTACTGAGAGAGTACAATACACCAATATAAGCAAAAGACCTATTAAACCATTTGTTTACAATGATGGAGTACTCCAAGGTGTCGTTTTTTCCATATTTATTTTCTACTTCCATCAGTGAACATTTTGAAATGTCTTCTGATCGGTATGCAGATGACGTCGTTTTGTGCCTTCAGGTCTGCAACACTGCTGACCTAAATAGATTTTGGGAAAATGTAAAAATACTGAGCTCCTTCTCTCATTCTGGGTTTAAATTGAATCCATCTGAGTGCATCTTCATCTTTTTACGACCAACACTTCCAGAGGACCATATAATCACAAATAGCAACTCACCCCTTTGAGTGCAACTCCATTTCTCGAGATTTTTCGCGAAAGTATACACATGAACCAATGAAAGTTGGTGTTATTATGTGCATTATGTCATTACAATACTTCGCTCCTATTCAGATGTAAACTTTGATCTATAAAAATTGATTTTAGGAACGCGAAATGCTTTTAGTATATTTCTCGGGCACTTTCGGAAAGGTGTCCGACATAGCTTAACAGTTGGACTGAATAAATGGCACATACAGACAGCCAAAAGCGATGTTCAATGATACCTCACTGAGCGAATTTCATATCCGGGATGGTTTTTGGACAGCCTAACGAATCAAACCTCAAATTCGAACCTTCTAAATACGAAAACAAGAAAAAGCCACATTGTCAAAGGCCGTCCAAGTTAAAAACAAGGAGAAATACTTGCCTGCGAAAATTCGGGGATAAGTATAAGATTTACTAACAAACACAACACTTAGATTGAACACAATTTAATTCCAGAATTAGCTCGCTACATCTCGCCTAGTGACTATTATGGAAAATGAAATGGTTCAAAAATCATTAATGATAATCGAACACCACACCAATTTATTCACCTACTTGCGTGATTACCACGACTGTTAAACTGACTGCGGACAAAGCTGGAGCTTGTGGCACTTAATTGCAACGTCCTCGGTTAATCCTAGCAGTCGACTATTCCGAATTGTGTAAATAACCCGAAACGGAGTCTTTTGAGTGGCCTGGTGACCAATCTGCAGCACATGACAAGCAAATGAAGGCACGGGTGTTCTGTGCGACTGGTTTGATGGACTGGACGTTTTTGCAGCCCTCGATGACATCGGTTCCCGTTCGACTTATGCTGGTATGCATTTGGTTACTCGGGTATGCAGGTGTCTCTCATCTCTGCCCACGTATGTGGCTTTGCACCCACATTGAAATTCACAGATAACGTGTAATTTGGTGGCCAGAGACAGGAGTCTTTCGACCAAGGTTTTCGAAATCTGATGTGAAGCGAACAACCGGATGTGAAGCAAAATGTGAGCGAGCACCAGTCACTATAATGTGTTCGTAGTAGCCCACATAATAGCCTTTGAACGCCAGTTGAATAGGAACTCCGAATTCTGACACTAACATCTTCGAATCTGTGGGCTTAACTTTTTCGCTGCACCTGTTTATGGATTTTGCTGGATTGCCATTGAGTTTTAGAGCTTCCAGGAAACGAAGTGCATAGCCGCTTGGCTCGATTACACAACGGACGATCAGTCTGGCATCGCCATGGTAACCACGTAAGCATAAAAATGAATTGGCATTGTGATAGATTATTTTCACTGGTGATATATAAACTATGCGGTTAACCGTAAGGAGCATCAACTGAGATGCGGTGAAGTGATTTCCTAATTAAATCCCGCTCCATCATAGTGTTGTGTTCTCTACTGAAGTTAATATCGGAGAACACTCGATTGGATAAGAAGGACAGGTAAAGGAATTTGCTGATCAAGGAAGGTTATCCACAACTTTGAAAATAACTCAAGCCGTGAACCATCTTAGATAAACTGCGAAAAACGAAGAAAAAACTGTAAGAACAACCAGAGGTGACCTCTATGTGCTGTATCCAACCGTGTTGCATTCAATCTAATGATATGAGTATGAAAGATGCAGCGGTTCAGATGACTAAACTGTATTAGCCGTTTTACAAATAGCAATGAGAATTTACGGCATGGAAAGGTGAGAGTGGTAACTCGGATCGCTGAACGTATCATTATGGATTGAGTCCAATGCAAAAAGCGTACATCAGATGGAACGCTAAATGAGATATTGTGATATTTCGTGACAAAAAAAATTAGATTTGGACGGTCCAGATGGACCAATGAACTTCAGTTATGGCGTGCGGAACAGAAAGCCTGACTTCCGCCACCGAGCCTGGGATTATGGTTCTGATGGTTTGAGGTACTGGAATCGGGGATGACAAATCACTAACGCGGGCTCTCGAAGGAACGCAGACAGCCGGCTTGTACATCAGAAGTTCGACCGACCTCCATCACACCTCAATGTCGGAATATCGATGAGTGTCCCTTTTTCAGATAGAGAGTACCCCAATACATACCGATAAGGTCAGTATTTATTGTTTTACATTTATAAACCCCAGTGATCTGTCCACTCACATATCTGTTTCAGTATTCACTGAAAATTGATGAGATTTTCTGGGGATGGGAATAAGGGCGTAATAATGGAAGAATCCTTGGTGCAATGAATGAATCGTGATGGGGGGAATCCATTTTGTAGCATCAAAGGGAACTATTTTCCCTCTATCTGTGTCTTTACTATTATATAACTTTTTTAATGCCGAGTTAAAAAGGTTCTAATCGTACCATTTGCCTTGCTCATTCCTGACTGACCCATTTTGAACTTTCAAGCTAATTGGCAAGGTCACGAAGGGCTGACTGGAAAAATGCATTTGAGCATATGCGTTCATCCTCAGAATCGCCGTTGGGGTCGACCCAAATACAACCTCACCTGAAAGTCTATCTTTTTATTCTTCTGTTCGGTTGAGCTCACAATTGTATTCGAATGGGCTACGTTGATGTTGTTTTCCTCGGGGAGGGGTACTCGTTCGTATGCTGAATCATTTGGGTCGTGATTATCGTTCGTGACTGTTGAGTCCAAAACAAACTGAAGCCAAAGTAACCTTGCTAAATAGGAGAATTCAGAAACTACAATGATTCAAAATCATATTTTGAAAATGTCTCAATTCTGTTTTTTTTTTGAGTCTAAGCAACAAAGGTCATTGTATCCAATGGTTTTTTATTATTCAGTCGGGGAGTGCGGTAAAAGCATTCAGTATACTACAAATGTATTTTGTACCACGATGGTATCTATTCACATCGCTTCAAAATTGAGGACTCTAAGTGAAATGGCTGTGGAGATACCGGGGAAAATAAGAGTGGTTTTATTACCATTTTACAGACTTTATTATTAGCCCTAACCTCTGATAGAATTAGTAAATTTAGTCCCGCATTTTTGGCACAAATAACTCATTTGGAAAACCGGGTAATTGTTTTGGATAGGCCTTTCAGAACCAGTCCACTTATGAATCATTGCAGTGATTAGATTTTCTGTAGGTGGGCTATACACTACTGACCACAACAAACGTCACTTAAGTGTAGCAAATTTGGAATAAGACATTCGATTGTTCACAGGCACCAGCCACTGTTGATGGTCTTCGATGTGGGTTTCACTCCTTGGGATATCGTCAATTCCCCACTAGTTGAATGTTTATAAGTCTATAAGACCATCAACGGCGCCTGGTGCCGGTGAATAATCGAATGAATTATTCTAAATTCGTTACTTTCCATTGCCTAAATCAGTCGGACAAGATGATAACCGTCAACCGTGTCACGAAGAAGTTTGAAGTCCCGACCCAAATGTTCAGGATTCAAGTCCTGACAAGGACACAAAAAGAATGCGTAGATTTTTAATTGTAGCATCAGAATAATTCGAACAGTTTTGATGTTTCGTAGTAGTACCTAGTCCCAGAGATAAAAGCAACTTTTCCTTGGAACATAAACCAATCACTTGAGCGGGTGGGAACAAAAGTCCACCGTGACGTGTTCATAATGCAATGAATGACGTGAGCATTAATCTTCGCAGTAGCAGCAGCAGACCTCTTGAATAGACCCCCTTTTGAAAAAATAACCCCGAAGCCGGTAAGGCGAAAAGTTGCATTCAGGAGTGTTTTGAGTGTCTGGTTTGAACACATGTTCCATGTGTCTGGTAATCGCTAGCTGTCACACTTGTTGCCGATCCAGAATGAAGGGAATCGGATAACTTGGAGAGGAGAGTCATGAAAACATGCAGTGAGAGAATGATCGGACGTGACTTTCACATGTAAATATCTTATTCGAGGTGAATTTCAACTAAAATTCGGCTATTTGAACAGTGGATTTCTGAACATCAGATACGCACCCCAGGCTAGTCGTGCGTCATAATTCTGATACAACTCAGCATAACAAATTACGAAAATTGACGGTCCTGTTGAATTGATTGATAATAGTCCTATTTAACCCACAAAATTAATTTCAGCATAAGGTAATAACTCGCATAGTCTTATTAAGAAAAGCTTAAAAAGCCTCCCATGCTCCAATCAGGTGTGTATGGCTGAAACACACAAGGTGAGTCACAGCACATGGAAAAGCGGTTGTGCACATCCAGAGTCATCAAGCTGGGGTATTCATAAGCCATACATTACTAAAAGGCACATATCTCGTACATTAA